CCGGGAGCAGCGAGTTGCGGGCAGGAAGCGAGAGGGGTGTTTCTCGCGGGTCTCGGGGCTGTGGGCTCTGCTTCGCGGGGGCCGTGGTGCGCGGCCGTGGGCTCTGTGGGGCTGGGGCAGGAGTAAGTAGCAGGCAGCAGTTTTGCTTTGCCAGACTTATGCCGGGTGCGGAATTGGTGCTGGGGACTGAGGAGGGGATGCCGTGCTGCCCACCCTCTGGTGACTTACTGGTTTTGTTAGCTAGTGAAGAAAACGGTGGCTTTTTTTGTGAGGACTTGGAAGTAAAGCTGGGGAGAAGGCCGCTGGTTTTATAAGCCGTGGAGTAGTTACTGTGGGGTGAATATTATGCACTTCTAAAAGGGAGTGTTGTTGTCAGGAGCATGGAAGAAGATGCAAAGACTGCTGCCCCATGTAACGCTACTAGCCGGTTTTTTACAGAGTGGTATCTCTGTCAAAAATACTTGTAGATGCTTCTTCTGTATTGAGGAGGCATTGTGTTACCTACTACTTGTGTGGTGATTTCAACAGCTGCTGTTGTTGAGTAGTAATTAGCTACTGTAGTTCTTATTTCTTTCTCCAGTTGTATGAAATTCCTAACCCTGTTCCAAATGCTGGAGGGTGTGTGTCCTACTTAATACCTGGAGCTTGCAGGAGCTCACTGAGCCAGGGCAAAAAACTTTGTGTAGGTGCTGCCGAGTTAGGAGGGTAACAGCCTCTGCAAAATGGATTGGTGAGTGGACAGCTTTCAGGGCAGGAAAACAGAACCTACAGAGAGCTGAACAGAGAAAGCATCTGTGTAATGAATTTTGGAGACTGGGCAGTTGAGTGATATCCAATGCCAGAAGTTATATAGCTTCCAGTTTGCTGTCATACAGGTATGCAGAGAGTTTGGTGTTGTACCTCAGCAAGCAGACTGAAATTTCTAATGATTTTCTTTTCTATTGGGAGAAAAATGCTGTTAAAAAGCTGAATCATGCTGTTGATAAGCAAATACTCTCTATATAAAGTTACTAGCTTTTTAATACTGCTTATTACTTTCTGAATGAGATTTTAAGAATGTCTTGATTTTAGTAACAAAAATTATAAAAGGAAAATAAATATTGTTGGGTTTGATCCCAAGTTTTTTTCTCAGTAAACTGTGCTGTGCTTACGTAAGGTGACACTATGCACAGAAGCCGATGATTGGCCTTGTTCTTTGTGTGGTGGTAGTGAAATAAAAGTTACAGGAGTGTTTATTGCCTTAGTATGAAAACAGAACTGGAAAGCATGAGGGAAGAAGCTTGCATACTCGTGGATTTGTCACGCAGGTGTTAATATAGAAAGTTTGATCAAAGTTTTTGACTTGCTTTTCAAAGTGTTGGCAGTTTCTAGGAAAGGGACTGTTATTTTGAGTAAACACTGAATTAAAACAGTTAACAGATAAACCCAATTTTCTAGTTTCCAAGAGCAGCAGTGTTTTCTGTGAACTAAATAGTGCTGTATCATCTAACAGTACTGAAGTCTGAAATGACTACTGAGTTCAGTTTATGTTTCCATTTTTAATTGTGTCCAAATGTATTTAAATATTCTTTTATTTATTTTAGGAAGTCCAGAAGCATTCTGTGCACACACTTGTGTTCAGATCTTTGAAGAGAACCCATGATATGTTTGTAGCAGATAATGCCAAGCCTATTCCATTAGATGAAGAAAGGTAAGTACCGCAATTGGTGAATTACTGGTATGTCTCGAAGTTTTAAATTATGTTAGAGATTGCTCCAAGTCAGAAGTTCAGATGTTTCTGTAGAGTTAACAGTGTAGTTTTGAGGGAAGTAAAAATACTAGAATTGTGAAGTAAGTTGTATAAACCTTCTCTAAAGTATTTAAAAACTTAATTCAAAACTTGGGGTTTAATCAGGATTGTGCTTTACTCTTCCAACAGTCATAAAGTAAAGATGGCAGTCAAGCTGCGTACAGAGTACGGCTCAGTGTTACACATGCCTACTCTTAAAGAGAACTTGAGAGAGAAAGGAGGCCCAAACACCGGGGATCCTTATGGACACAAACAGTATTCTGGAAATCAAGGTTAGTTTACTCTTAGTGGTATATTTGCCCTTTCTTTTGTGACAGTTTCACTGATGTAAAATCTTGAAGAATGCAGTCCAATATTAATCCATCAGAGATAAAGACAGAAATCAAAATACCATTTTTCTCATTATTTGGTATTTTTCTTGTTAGGGTCCACAGGAAGTAAGTGATTAACAACAAGGAGGAAGTTTGTTTTAACAAAGGAGTAACAGGGTGCTGTGGAATTTTTACAGTAACTCATTAGTAAAATGAGTAATTTTTATGGTAACATTAGTGTGTGTTGTACTTAGGTGCTAGAAAGAGGAAGATCAGTAATGTATTTCTCTTTTTTACAAGTTCATGATGGTCAAAGACATGGTCTTTTAGGTTTTTTTATTTTTCAGTTTTGTTTCATAGAAATTTTTCAGCTGTGCAGCTATAAAACCAGGAAAATCTTTATTTTAAGTCTGTGTTTTTAACCTATGTTTGGTTACATATAAAATATGTATGTATTGGGTAGATCCCATACAGAACCTTCTAAAGAATGCCAAATGCTGCCTTATTTTAATGAGGTTTCTTTTTTAGTGTACTTTATTTGGAAGTATTCTGAGAAGAAAAGGTATTGAGAGGGAATGAAAAATTTTAATAGCAGGACCTTTTTTTCCAATACCATGCACAATCAGTTGTCATGAGTAGCTTAGGTTTCAGACACCCGTGCTATTTGTGTACTTGAATCCTACTTTAGAAGGCATTTTTGGCAGTATGAAGATTTTTCTTTTGGGAGAGAGTCCCTCTTGATAACAAGTGGCATCAGCATTTAAAAAAATGTTATTTTACTCTTGAGTTTTTGAAAACTGAGGTAACCAGAACAAATGAAATTAATGAAAATAAGAAATGTCTAAGTGTAGTACATTAGAAGTGATTGCTGGTTTCTCCTGCTGTGTATGACCTGCTCTGTTTTCCTGTATGTCCTGTCTGAGTACATCATTTGCAGTGCAGTATAAAATTTTATTATTAATACGGAATCTTGTTGCCATTTAGGACAAGAACTTGAGTATTTGATAACTGGTACACATCCATACCCACCTGGACCTGGTAAGTAAAATTCTGTGAGTGTTTGCCTGGGATTTTTGCCTTCATGTCAGAACTAGGTGTCATCCATCCTAGCAGGAGCAGGCTTCCTGTTGCTTTGAATCCGTAGCTGATAGTACTAGGAAATGCCATTGGAGTCTTTCATAGCATTGGTGCAGAGAATTTTGTTGCTGATAAATGTTCTGGGATAGGAGATAGGAGGAAGATTTAGGTACAGATGCAGTGTCTTCTCACTAAGCCTCAATGGATGTGAGCTTGCTGTGAGATGGTCATTCATTTCTGTGAGATTTCACTTCCTGTGGCAACATCACAAAAATGTTCTAGGAATCCCTTCTCCCATATTGTGGTCCCCTTTCTCCTAGAGAGCTTGCTGAGACCCACGGATCCCTGGTGCCTCCACTGTTGTGGCAGAGCTGCTCTTAGAATTTTGTGGTAAGCAAGGAGGAGAGGTTCCAGCTAGAAGGAAGCTCAGTGAAAAGAGGGAATGTGTCCTGCTTTTCATCACCAGAGTAGAAAGGCGTAGGCATCACCACCTTGCTCTGAGAAATTGACATTAAGGTCTTATAACTTCAGTGTCATTTGTTTTTTGTCTGTGCTTCGAAGGGTTCTGTTTCATTGTTGAGACATTGGCCATGCTAATTGTCACTGTTACTGATCAATCCTGCTGTCTCCTCGTAGCAGTTTAGTCTTAGCTGTTGATCTTTTACTGTTAGTGCTTCAGTTTATTACAAGTACGGTGGGAAATGTGTTGTGGCTTGATTTCTGAGTGTTCAATGGACCCTCAGCCTTTGAAAAAACATGCATAGTTGACTATAACTGGGGGGACAAGACTTGCTCACAGAGGTTCCCTCAAGTTCAGTGTTCTTTTAATAGAATCAGATAGGTCATGGTTAAAAGTTAGATTTGTTTTATTGTTGCTTCTTGTTTTAACCTGGATATCTCACCCAAATATTATTTTTGTTGCCAACTGCCAGAACTTTGGTTAGGGCAGGAAATACAGAAATGGAAGTGAAGTAAATTCACCAGTCTGCACCAAAACTGTGTTTTGTAAAGAGTTTTTTAAATTTAAGTGATCTTCTTTTAAGATGAGGCTATAAATTATAAGTTGTAGTCTGAAACTCACTTCAGTATGACTGACCCTTTTGTAGTTCTGGCACCACTGCATGATACCAGCCACCACACAGGGACGCCATAATAAACTACACTAAAGAACCTAAGTTAGCAAATACTTCTCAAGATCCTGTTTTTTCTGTGATGTTTGGATTTCCGTAGTAGTTGAGGCTGGATGAAAAGATGGACTCTGCTCCTAGTTAGGCTTTTTTGTTTCCAGTGACAGAATCATACTGCTTTCTACTCTAGAAATTGTATACCTATGTATGTAGTAGAAACAAGATGGTAAGAGTTTGGGCCAAAATAAAAATTCTGGTAGGTTTGACTTGTGAAAAATAATGTCATTGAATGGTGGGATTTAATATTACGAGGGTGTGACAAGCCCTTGTTTGCAGATGTATGTGTATATATATGTCTTTGTATAGTACACTTTTCTGGATTTTCTTTTTAATAGTTGTCTTTGCTTTTGCTGTGTTATTTTTTTTTCAAGGTGTGGCTCTGACAGCAGATACTAAGGTCCAGAGGATGCCTAGTGAATCTGCAGCACAGTCCTTAGCCGTAGCACTCCCTGCTTCTCAGTCCAGGTACTGCTGTGTTACTTCATTAACACTTTTGTTATCTATGGGAATTTCAAATAAAACACAGAAGTCAGGATAAGAGCTACTTTGAGTATTTTGAATGTTCTGATTTAAAATATTTAAATAAACTACTTTTAGTGTGGCCAGGCATCACTTTTCTGTGCTTTTTTTTCTTAAATGCCATGAGAGTCAATGGGTGGAAGTAGGAACAAGGGAAATTCTGTTTAGATATGAGAGAAAAGTGAGGCTTTGTGGGTGTCTTTTTTGCCTTGAGGTGGTCAGGCATGGGAACAGTTTGCCCAGAGAGGTTGTGGAGTCTCCATCCTTGGAGGTGCACAGCACTTGACTGGATGCAGCTCTGATACCTTATTGCTTACTTAGTGAAAGACAAAGTTGATTCCAATTCATCAATCTTTTTCATTCAACCTAGGTTGGATGCAAATCGGACAGCTGCTGGCGTGGGTGATATTTACAGACATGCTGGAATATCTGAGCGTTCACAGCCTCCTGGGATGTCCGTGGTGAGTTCGCACATCTAACGTGAAAAGTACGTAGTGTTCACCAGATTGCTTCTGGATTCATGCATGTGTTGTGTGGACATCTCCTGACCGACTAAATTTAATCCGTATTGAGGTGTCAGAGCGCTTTAGGCTTTATGCAAAGAGGTAAGTTATGAAGTGTAAGAGTAACCTTCCTTTTAAATTACAGGCTATGGTGGAAGCTGGTGGAAACAAAAATTCTGCATTAATGGCAAAGAAGGCTCCAACCATGCCCAAACCTCAGTGGCATCCACCTTGGAAACTGTACAGAGTAAGTTACAAATGTATGACATGAACGTGCATGTAAAATTAAATTAGTATTTTATGTCCTATAAAGACCTCAAAGTATAATTTTTGATCCCATTCGCAAAAACGAAATCAGATGAAAAGTGATTATAACTAAGTTGTATATGCACATTCTTTCCTTAAATAACAAAGAGATTAGATTACAAACATTTTTCATTCTATTTAGTAAATTATTTTGTGAATATTATTTTTACCCTTTTGTTTATGTAGGTTTAGCTGTGTTATGATAAAATCATTACAGAACTTGTTTTTTCTTTTCTAGTCAGATTCTTTGGTAGAGGAACTCAAAAGACAAGGTGCAAAATTTGAAACTAATTACATGTTAAAGAAATACTCTAGCAATGTTAACATAATGAAATTATCTCCAAAAACACTTAAAGGCAGTCAGTGAGACTTCTTTAACTTGCTATGAAAATGGAGGGGGGAAAAAGCTGAATTCTTTAGTCACAAATTATGTCTGCAGTTTAGATTGCTTGACTGCTAATTGTGTTTTTGAATTAGTCTAATCTGCCTTTTTCTTAGGAAGTAATAATAGCCACTCCCCCAAAATCTCATATTTTTAAATGTTTTGGTGATGAGTATGGCAGGGTAGCTGAGTTGAAGGGAAAATCTCCAAGCATTTGTATAGGTTCAGATCTTTTTAACTCTTCGGGTGCATCTGTTTGAATGTGTACTTTTTTCTTAAGGAGCTGATTTTTTTACTATGAAACTTAAGCAATTTCATATTTTGTCTGAGAGAGGGTGAATATTATTTTTGGATTGTTAGGCTTTCATGATAGTTAAAAATCTCATGCTCTAGTATCAGAACTGTATTGTTTTAGCACTGTTCATATAAATATAGCACCATATGTAGGCATTTAGATCTTCAGAAGAGTCCTGAATCCCGTATTATTCATAAATCTTAAGGCTAATCTCAAAGTAATTTCTTGAAAACCACTTGGGCTCAAAGGAATATATAGGTTTTCTAAATACAGCAGTATTAGAACGTGCTCTATATACACATTAAAGCAAATGCCACTTGAAAAAAGGTACTGAAATAAACCTATGAGAGATTTAAGGTAAACAAATGAAAAATGCCTACTTGTTAGGAGCACTTTCTTTTGAGAGACTGTAAATACAGTTCAAGTCACTGTACTAATTCTACATGCCAGCAGTTTTAGTGGAAGCTTGCTATCAAAATTCTTCCTGAATAGGACAAAAGCTTGTTCAAGCAACTCAGGAATAGAAGCATAGCTGGAAGACCAAACGTGGGTTTCATCTTATGTATAGCTGAAGTTCTACATTTTAACTGGTCTTCCTAAGCTTGGTTTGAAGTCACTTGTGAAAGATGGAGACTTAAAATAGGTCAGACGAATTATGTCTTAGATTTCTCCCCTGGAAATGTCCGTTCCTATTCCTAGACTATGAAGAAATCTAGACAGCCATCTCAAGTGTATGTGGCTGTAGTGTCATCCAGTCAGAAGAGTCCATTTTAGCTTTCCAAAGTATTTCTGCTTTATTTCTGTTTAAGAACTTTTGTTGTGTTTTCGATCTTTTGAAATGAGCTGTATGACAGTACATGAAATATGACGTCCAGTGAAACTGGAACACAAATATGTGTTTTGATTTTTAACTCTCTGACTTTGGAGAAATTAGAGAAACAAGGCATGTATTGGTAGAGCTTTTCTTGTGACATCCACCTCCAGTACTGTGTTACCGGAAAGTTTTTAACACTCATATTACCCCTGATTTGGGGAAAAGGAGGTGGTGGTGTGCTTAAGAGGTAGCTATTGTATGGCAATGTGATTTAATAGCCAAGATTTTATATAATTGCTCTTTATTACTGTGTAAGCACTCTACAGCAGCATGAGGAACTTGTGCTTAAATACAGTCTTTCTCTGCAAAGCCTCAAGTGTTGAGCCACAGTGTTATGGACTCTCAAAGGATTTGAAAGTTGCTTATAGGAGTAGGATCTTTCTGTACTGCGAGTTCCCCAAGTCTGGTGTGTGACATGAATTTCTATTAGTCTCTTCACTTAACTAAAGTAGAAATCAAGTTCTCTTCAAACCTAATTTCACATTTGACTTTTTGGGGAGCATGTGTTTCTTGGTGAATACTAACAAATTCCAGTGAAGAATGAAAATTATATTCAGAGATGTATGTATATTTCTGATTTAGAAATTTTTTTTTTCTAAAGGTTATCAGTGGTCACCTGGGCTGGGTAAGATGCATTGCAGTAGAACCAGGAAATCAGTGGTTTGTTACTGGCTCTGCTGACAGAACTATAAAGGTAAGAGGTTGGAAGAAATCACTAGGGTTTGCTGGGGGTGTTTTTTTGTTCTCTTATTTAAATAAGTTTTCAGCCCTTGGAAACAATTTCTTAGTTACTGCTTGTGGAATAAAGAACTGCAGACCATTTTTTCTTACCTAGTCACAAAGGATTTGTGGAGTATTACTACTTGAGATTTCATTTGTTACATGGTAGTAGCTGGAGGGCAAACCTTTGTTACTGTAATTTTTAACTTAAAATGCAGCAGGATCAATTACATCTGGGCTTTTTATGCAGAATATCAATGTATAGCTTTTACTGGTTTACCTCAAAATACATATTTTGATGCAGATTTGGGACCTTGCTAGTGGTAAATTGAAATTGTCTTTGACGGGACACATCAGTACTGTACGAGGGGTGATAGTAAGTGCAAGAAGTCCATACCTCTTTTCTTGTGGAGAAGACAAGCAAGTGAAATGCTGGGATCTTGAGTACAATAAGGTGAGCTGTACTTTCTTTAATTGGAATTAAGTGGTGGTGGCAAATAGAAAAAGCATTTAGAATATTGTCTCAAATACCCATTAGCGTGTGGTTTTTGTTCATCTAGGTTATCAGACATTACCATGGTCATCTAAGTGCTGTCTATGGTTTAGACTTGCATCCGACAATAGATGTACTGGTAACATGTAGCAGAGATTCAACAGCACGAGTAAGTATAGCACTGTTATGCTTTAATGTCTTGGTATGTCAGTCTGTTTCAACATCTTCCATTTGTAAAAGTGAATACCTATCAAAAGTTAACATGAATCAAGATGAATATATTAAGATGACTTGTTAACTTTGTCTTCCACTGTTGATAAAAACTGAAGCCTGAATACATAAAAATGTAGTGTCACTTCAGGATAACGTTTTATTTCTTTAGTAGGTAGAGTAATAGCGTGTGTGTGTGTATATATATATATAGGATCACTTTGTTGCATTTAGAAGATTGTATGGGTTTATGGTGACTAAGTTATCTGTATGTCTAGAAATTCAGTGGCAGGCTCCCTGCTCCCCTTGAAATTTGCCAGCTGAGGCAGTTGTGTGACTAATTGTTGCATGAAAAAAACAACCTAAATACTATTGTTTAAGCTGTGGAACTATGGCAAGGAATTCATGTGATCAATGACAGTGCCTAAAATGGATTGAATATGCACCTGTTATTGACCTCTGACTGACTTACTGTGAATTCATAGATTTGGGACGTAAGGACGAAAGCCAGTGTGCACACACTATCAGGACACACAAATGCAGTAGCAACGGTGAAATGCCAAGCTGCAGAACCACAAATTATTACAGGTACAGTGGGCATGGTTTCACAATCATGAAAGTATTTGTTCAGTAATTGTGTGGCTTGTAATGTTACCTTTGTTAGTTTATTCAGTTTCTCTTGGTTTTCTGTGGAAAGTGGGCCACGCAATGGTTATTTTATACTACTAATGGTATGTTTAAGCAAATCCAGCTATGTGTTGTTTGAATGTTTTATTTCTCCACTACTTTTGTTTCTGGTGTTTACATTTTTTGTTGTAGTAGGCATTGAGACTTGCATTTTCTGTGATATTTTACGGTTCTCCCCAAGTCAGCTAAGAAGTGTCCGATACTATGGTTAAATATAAAGTTCATCTTCTTTCCCATTATGTCAAAAGCTAGCTTTGTTGTGCAACTACGTAGGTCTCCTTGAATTTCAAACTGCCGAAAAAGACTCTTACAACCCAGTATATTTCTTGTCTGAGATGGCAGTATCATCTTTTTGTAACAGACTTTAATAATATTTTAGTCTTTCAGATATAAAGTTTTGACTTTATCAAAATACTAATGATGATAGAATCAATATGATGGTTTTTGCTATTTTTGATTTCCTTTCATTGCAGGCAGCCATGATACTACCATACGGCTCTGGGATTTAGTGGCAGGAAAAACTCGTGTTACTTTGACAAATCACAAGAAATCTGTGAGAGCAGTAGTGCTACATCCAAGACAGTAAGTTTTCCTCATTCTTTCACAGTTCATAACATTGTGTGGTGACAGAAGGTCAATGTGAGTGATTTTGAATGGTAGGGTGTAATAATATGAGAAATTAATGAGCTTAGAATGCTGTAAAAATGTACAATCAGTTCTCAAATACCTTTACTATGCTGATTGTGCTCCCCAAGTATTTGCACTGGGTACATTAGCAATCCTGAGAATGTCTTATATCCCACAGAACTTATGTATGTGCCTTTGTAGTCCTTCAGAAACCAGCAACATGGGGCTTGTAAAACTAATAATAAATATGTAATTGATTGTTAGGAGGATCTTTTTGAACATGTGGTTCACTGCACAAGGCATTGCAATCTAATCTTAAAAAGAAACTTCTTGTGAGTATTTAATCTTTGAAGTAGGTGTTGTTGGAAGTATTCTGAATTTATATACTGTATTTTGGTGCATCAACAGTTGCCTGTTCAGATAAATCTCCATTAAAACAACGGAGAAAAGGAATTCACAAAAAACTGCAGTGCTTCAGAATTCAGAATCTTTGATATGAATTAATTATGATCCATTTTTCTGGTCTTTTCAGATCAGAAAAAATTATAAAAAATTATTATATTATAAAAATTATAT